ACATTAATTCTTTCATTATTTGCAGATATACTAATGATCTATTTATTACAGAAGTCAATAATTTACAATAAAATAACAATTTTAGTATTCAATCTTCTTGCTTTTATACTACAGTAATCGTACCCTGTTTGTCCCTCAGAGATCCGCCTCGTCTCAGCTCTGATTATAGAAAGGGCTTCAAATTCTTCTGGAAAACTTTGCCGCATTGGTAGAGGGGTTGCCGCTCACAGCAAACACATTTAGTCCAATAATGCAAGGATCACATAGATGCTCCGGAGCTTAATCCCAGGCAATGACATCTCAAGTTTTCTCGAAGGGTTTTCAGTTAAACACGCACCTTAACATGGAAACCAGGACTACAACTTCAGTACCAGCACACACACACACACACACACACACACACACACACGCACAAAGGAGAAAAACTGCATATTTAAGACATACAAACTCACAAACTGAGACTGCCTTCAAAACTCGTTTTGGGGAGCACCCTCAAAGAAACCATTTAGAGAACAATGAACACAGGACTATTGGAATATTTAACGGTGTGACAGCGTTTTCCTTCCATTTAGTCAGAACGTGTTTAACCAAATACAATACAAATATTTGTATACGAATACAAAATGGTATAGACATCTAATCTTATAGCTTCATATGGCAAATTCATGACCTCTGTAAGCAAATTGTGTATATAAAGCCACAGTATGACCGTATTGTATGCTAACCTTTGGAAATGAATCCCAATATATTTCATTATTTGGGACTTGGTAAACGCCACTATGTAAAAATCACACATTTAGATCGCTCTTCCAACTGAAAACATGAAGGATGTTGCCGTGAGTTCAGTTTTTATCGGGGGGTCTATGTTCTGTACTGTTTTTTTTTTCAACCCATCAGCTTTCAGATTAGTTTTTAATCTGAATATAACTGTCCAGCTCCAAAACGTATATGGGAAAAAAGTTTCCCGAAAATATTGCCTCAGCAACCATTTTCATCTCTCTTCCCCTCCATAATCTCTTGCTACATTCCTTCCTCAAGCTCTCATTTGTGTCAAATTGGAGAAACTTTGATTTAGTGCAAAATGCTCTGAAAATCCTCGATTTTGAAAAGTATGAGTCCACCTCTTTACAATTCTGAGAGGCATCAAGTGTGCAGGTTGACGACATGAAAAAACGCAAGACTGAAAACACAACAGCACTCATGAGACAAAAGGGGGCGAAAGTGATTAAAAAAGAGTGATATTCAGAGCTCAAATTAATTTCAAAACAACAACAACAATAAAAAATAATAAAAGGACAAAAAGAAACCCCTATTGATCATTCCAAAACTTTCTTGTCTAATGCTTCTTTGCCATTTGTCCGCGAGTAGGGCTCAAATGCGGACGAGCTCAGGAAGCGGGCAGAAAGTTCCTGCAAGTTCCCCGCGAGGGATCCAGCCATGCCAAGCGGGGTGGAGGAGATGCGTGAGGCGACCGACCCGAGCAGAGAGGGCATAGGGAAGCTAAACAGCCCATGGGCAGGCGGAGATCCCTGCAGCCCTGTGACTGTCCCTGAACTAGTCACCGCTGGCAGCGGCGGGCTCCCCCCGGCTGTGCCTGAGCTGGCGGCACTGCTGCTACTGCTGCTCGAGGAGCCTCCATTAGCGGTGATACCCAGGGACGGCCCACGCAGGGCTGAGCCTAGCGACGAGCTCCCGCAGTGGGGCAGCAACCCTGGCAGGCCTGGGGGAGTGAGGAGCCGGCCCTGCTCCAGGAGACGCAGGACGCTGCAGGTGGCGGCTGTCTCGGAGACCACGGAGCGCAGCTCTGAATCCTTGCCCTGATCCTTCTTCTGCTTAGTGCGACGATTCTGAAACCACACCTTTACCTGTCGAAGGAACGATAGAGAGAAATTAGCTTAAAATAGAAAACAACAAAGCAATATAATATGGAGAATACCGTAAGCTTGCATAATGCTACTATTTCTTCAAACTGGTTTAAATGTTAATTATTAATAAATAAATGAAAATGAAATAAGATAAAGTTTAAAAAGTAAAACAATTATTTGATTTTTAGATACCATGAATTATAAAGTCTATTAATAGAGACGACATAAATTAAAATGTAATTAAATTATGTATATATAAATTAATCTAATTAAATAAGCAGTGGTAAAGTTTAATTCTTATAATGCACCAATTTAATATGTATTTTGGCACAGTAAAAAAAAAATGTGGGCTAAAATTAAATTGAAATTTGAAAAGTGTAAGTGAAACTTATTTTGAAATAAAAAGGGTATTTGTAAATAAAAACCTATATAATGAAAAAAAACATGCACCTATTCTTTTGAAAAACACCGCAACACGAGCTCCTTTTGCAAGGACGGATGGATCAATACTGTTTTGAACCACGTAATTGTACTGTATCCATTTAATTTAGGATTACAAAGAAAGAGGAATGGCAATTTCCAGATAATACATGTTTAGATCAAGTTCCGATGGCAGAACAAAATCATAATATATATATTTATTTTCTATAGAGAAAAGGAGGCCAACTTTATATTTGTTGTACTTAAAAATGATTGATAATAGCTTCAGAGGAATAAGAACAATGAAGTATGACTAACATCTCAGAATTGTGTCAAGCAGTTTAACGGTCACATTTATAAAAAAAAAAAAACACTAAAATAACCAGCTTAAATGCATCGCAATAAAAATTGTAATACTATTTAAATATTTCGTGATAGATCAAGATTATTAAATAAAGAATAAGCTGCTGTATTTTACAAAGCTATTAGTTACATAAGTGCATGCCTTAACAGTTTCATCAGTGTTGTAATGGAATGCTAAATACTGAGTTATCATATTAAACCTGCTATTGTCTCTAAAGGGTTGATGATGTGATAGAATGTGACACAGTTCAAATGGCCAATAGAATTAGAAACGTTGAGACAGCATTGTCGGTTTGCAGGTGTTCAGGGTGTTTAATTAGGGGAGCCCTGATCAATATATGACTGCAATATTGAGTGTTAAAATGAGAAAAAGCAGCTATATATTTTTATAATGTGACACCAAATGGCCAATAGAATTAGAAACGTTGAGACAGCATTGTCGGTTTGCAGGTGTTCAGGGTGTTTAATTAGGGGAGCCCTGATCAATATATGACTGCAATATTGAGTGTTAAAATGAGAAAAAGCAGCTATATATTTTTACATCTTAAATTTCTTGTGAGCCATCATGTCTTTTTTTTTCTTAATAAATGAAGTACTTGGTCACGCAAGCATGTGCTATAATGAACATGTTCACTAATGAATAAACAAATAAAAATGTGGATTCCAAAATGAGCCTTACTATTGCAGTCAGTTTCCCCGCGCTGCAGATTATCCAGGGAGACACGTAGAGAGAGAGAGAGAGGATAAAACGAGGCCGAGAGAGAGAGAGAGAGAGAGAGAGAGAGAGTGCATGTACAGTTCAGTCATGTAATCTCAAACTCGTGACCTCTTGCTGACCCCTGCGCAAAGCATGTGCCGCAAATGCATCGCTGGGCTTATTTTTGTAAAGCAGGCCTTTATGCCACTAACAAACGATCAAACTATTGCACTGATGGCGAGGGCAAAAAAAAAAGGGAATTATCCGGGAAAATGTCAGGAAGATGTGATCGGATCGCTGATGTTTTAAGTGGTCTGAAGGGATACCACCCAAAATGCAAATTAAATAAATATCAAAATCATAATAATAAAATCATGTAGTCAGAAGAACCTGTTACCAGTGTTACCAGGGTCTTTTCATTGTACAGAGTATCAACAATACATTTAATGATTATGCGCCAGACATGCGTCACATGCGTCACTATGTTTTGGGAGAGCCAAATTTGTGTGATACGTGTTTGTGATTATTATT